TTTGAGACTTTGGACAGAATGGGAATTCTCTTTCTATACTGCCCATCCTGCTGCTCAACAGCCTCCATACTTGAGCTTGTAAAGGTGGTCTCAGCTGCGGTGTTGAAAAACCCAAAGTTTTACCCCCTTGGTGACTTAGAACTCCTTGATAAATAGGCTTTGGTAGGAGCTGTTCATTACTTCATAACTACCATGAACAGATGAACACATGAAACTGCCATATTATGAATCAGACCATTGGCTACCAGGGCCTACTCTGACTGGCAGCAACTCTCCAGAGTCTTAGGGAGAAGTCTTTCCGCTCACACAGTCTTTTAAATTGCAGATGCTGGGGACTGAATTTAGGACCTTCTACATGCCAGCCATGTGTTCTACCACTAAGCCACAGCCACAATCTGTTACAATTATGGGGCTGAACATCTTAATCTCCATGATTTATTCCAGGGTATCAAATATGCAGCCTGGGGGCTGGATCAGGCCCCCAGAGGGCTTCTATCAGGCCTGCAGTGGAACTGGCTGTCTTCTGCTTCGTCCTGCAGTTCTGCTGCTGCTGCATCATCATAGGTTTGGAGTTTACAGATATGCACCTAAACAGCATACTCAAGATTGCAACAGCATAGACATTTTGATGCAATAATTCAGAGCAAGAGGCGTCAGTTATCAGACAGTGTTAAATAAACAAAATATTGTAATAGTGCTAATGTTTTAAGCATGTTTTAATTTTAAGTTAAAAAAAACACCCTTTGTGTTTGTGGCCTTTATAAAGTTTATATCTCTGCTACCTGGCATTACATTTTATGACACACATGGCCCGGCCCAACAAGCTCTCATTTATGTCAGATCTGGCCCTCATAACAAATGAGTTCAACACCCCTGATTTATTCAATCATACTTGGGGTGTATTTGGGTGTGTATGGTATGGTAATTGGGGGGGGGGAGAGAATCTCAGTGTTATCCTTGTTCATTGCCAGGACACTTGGAACTTCTGTAGGAGTGGAGGAATATTTGAAGAAGCTAGCTTGACCTTTAAAGCTATAAATGCCTAAAGCCTTCTTCCTTACCAGCCTCCCCAAAGTTTAAGATCTGCTTCTCTGGCCGTTCCTCATGTCGTGGGCAGACATTCTGACACCTATTTTTACCTAGATCATTAAGACTGGGATAACATCTAGGATACAGCAACATGCAATAATTATGCCATTCTATAAAAAGCATGATCCTTTGGCTCTGCATAATTACTGTCCTATTAGTTGGTTATCCCTAATGAGAAAGCTGTATGCTTCCATTCTTTATAACAAGTTATCAGCCTTGTTGGAAGAGGCAATTCCCTGGGTCAAGAACAGGCCAGATTCTGGAAGGGCCCTGGTACTGCTGATCATTGTTACACTCCCCCCCCCCCAATTCTTGATAGACAAGTATACTAACTTTTAAAGAGGATATGCTTGTGGTTGTATTCATAGACCTCAAGGCTACTTTTGACTCAATACCTAGAAAGAGGCTCTGGGAGAAGCTGAGGGATACTTCTAGGGACAGATTATTATTTTTGATCCAACAACTCTTATGATTCTCCTTCTGGTCAAATGAGGTATGGCCCCTCTGGTCAACTGCCAGGTCAAATTATATTGAATAAGGGTGTGAAGCAAGGTTGTGTCCTTGCACCACCACTATTTAATATTTATATTAATGATTGCCATCACTATTATAAACTGATGATACAGCATATTATACGCCGATAATTGATAGTGGAAATGTGTAGACTTTTACATTCTTTCTCAGATTACTGCTCCGAAGAAGGCCTGGTTATTAATTACTCAGAATTGAAAGTAACTCATTTTTAGTAAGAAACCAGGGAGCAAAAAGTTCAGATTGGTTGGATTAGATTGGCCTCACTCTGTGTGCTGCCCACATATGGAGCAATGCAGGGGGGAGCTGGAGACAAGACTTTTCAGCTGTGATGCCTTGATTTTGGAATGTTCTCCCCTAAGAAGTTCATCTAATATCAAGCTGATTTTTGCAACAATTTGAAAACTGTTTTTCCCCTTAGGTTTTCAGTTTACCCTTGTGTTAGGTCATTTTGTTTTTGTCTTGATCATCTAATCTTACTGATTGTATTTGTTGTTATTTAGAGTACATCTACTGTTGGGTGATAGTGAGATATTGAAAAAAAATGGTATTTAGCAGAGATAATATAGTCCAGCAGAGCCAGAGTAAAATAATTCAGACTGAGAGTCCATGTGTGATTAAAATATAAAGTTTTTACTAAATTCTAGCATGGGAAGGGTAACTGGGATGAAAATAACAACAGAGCTAAATCGGCTACATCCTTACTCTACAAAGACAAAACTAGAAGAGAGCTATTATGGCTACTCTTACTTCTTCTTGAGAACAGCAAACAAAGATGGGAAGAGGAGCCATAAAATGCTAAAACACTTTGACACTTTCGTCCCAATCAAACTCCTAGATCAGGGAGAAAATTCCCGGGCTTCTTACAGCTAAAGAACATTGGTTACATGAGAAACATGTGACTTCCTGTGAGTAACATAAACAAACATTTAACCCCAGATATACTGAGTGTTTTAAACTTGTAATACCCAACATCTACCCTATTGGTTTTATCTGTAGCTGCTATTTAATTGGTCCCATTATCTGGATTTTTATGTTTTCTGGTGATATTAGGTATAGCTTTTTACCATTTGGTACTGGTTTTTGTTTGTTAATTGCCGTTGTTTAGATGCATGACTATCATTTTGTGATGTTATATTGTATTTGAGCTGTATGGTGCTTTTTACTTTTGATTATATTTGATATTTGTTTTTATTTTGAATTTTTGTAAACTATGTTGCTCAGCTTCGAGAATAGGCTTAGAAATAAACTTTTGCAAAACTAGTAATAAATACATATGAATAATGCAGCTGGAAAAATTGTTCCAACAGGTGTTCAGTTTTTTCCAAAGGTAATTTTTTCACAGCAATTAGTTTCACTTGAGTCGCTGCATGGAGCTGATGTGTTTTTCATCAAATTGGCAAGCGACAATCAAATCATGTTCTAAACAGAAGGAAGTCCAAAATACCTCTGTGGTTTGGTTAACTTTCAGTTCAATTATATACCTAATTATCCTCCAAATAGTTTACCTACAATTTTGTTCAACAGTTAATTGGTACCAGCAATTGCCTATGTTGTATACCTTTAAGGAAACATTCCTGTATTTTATATATCTAGTGTGCTATTTTTAATGTATTTAAATGTAAAAAATATATAATTTTATATTTATATTTACTGTGCTACTTGAAGTCCATAGGTGAATGTGTTTTTCAAACCAAACTGATTCCGCAGAGACATCCTTTTGGCTGAATTGCCACCCATTGCACCCAACTTGCTCACTAGGACAACTGTGCTTCTTCCATTGTCTTGGCATTGGAAAGGAAGCTGTGTTATTGTGACCTGAGGAAGGTAGACCTAATAAATGAAGAAGAATATGCCTCTTCCTTTGTGAAACTGCTCTCACAACAAGACCTTGTTGAACCTTTCTACAACAATGAGACACTTTGCCAGCAGTCGAGTCAGAAATAGGCGTTTAGTATACCATATGCCACATCAGTTATGAAAGGTGCATGAATACAAATCATATATTTGCATGTGAAATACATGTGAGTTGTGAGGCTATGGTTGCTCATAAGATTTGTAATGAAAAGATTGTCACATCTTTATGTCCATATTTGATGCAATATACTTTTGTACTGGAATATTGAAGCCCAAGGACAACATATGATATATAAAAAGGGCTCTTAAAAGCAGCTCTCTCAGATTTCAGTCTGTAACTTTCTGAATTTACACACACATAAACTTAATCTGCTAATGCACCTGCCAATTTTTGTGTACCTGGCAACTTCCGTGACTAGAAGTTAAACTAGAAGGCTGAGTTAAACTAGAAGGCTGAGAATCCAACATAGCAGAGAGGCCAGAAAAGTACATATCTGGTTTGAAGTTATTGCAGCACAATTCCTGCCATGAAGACTGCAGGGTAAATCCTGGATCCTCACTCTCCACCATGCAGATATAGTGAAGTTGCATGTAACTGAGGATGCATGAGGACTGACTGGAATTCTGCATGGGTCACAGCTGTTGCCATCTGTAGCCCTGAGTGAAGGACAGATGTGCACTGGGATGCACATCTTTTCCCTGTTAGTTGCCAACAGATGGATTTTTATGGACACCTAGCAGTCACAAATGGCTACTTGTCCAAATTTCCCACCTTTGTTGTTGTTGTTGTTAAAACTGTCTTCTTCCTTCAGGCAAACAAAGGATTTAGGGAAATTAGATGATGGTTTCCAATGACCCAACCTATTTTTTAGTATCTTTGTCCGCTCAGCACTTCCTTCAGCTCCTTCAGTGCTGTTAGTGTCCCCGAGACTCCAGTAGAGATTTTAAAGCACCAAAAGGGTGGGGGCAGTTTCTCTGCTAACTTTTCTACAGATTGCACAAACAGCCATTAATATTTGCACAGTGATACCCTGGAGTAAACCGGCGAAGTGTAATGGCTGCAGACAGTGTGAAAGTAGGACCGGGGACACGAGTTCAAATGCCCACTCTGCCACGTGTGAGCATCTCTCTGGCACAGCTGTCCTTGAAAAAGAGCAGTTTGTGTCAGAGCTCTCTCAGCCCCACCCACCTCACAGGGTGTCTGTTGGGGGGAGGGGAAGGGAAAGGAGTTTGTAAGCCGCTCTGAGACTCCAAGTGAAAGGCAGGGTATAAATCCAATCTCTTCTTCTTCTTCTCCCCCCCCCCAGTCACACACACACTAATGATCCACTTTCAATGCACTTTCTAACTGGATTTTGCCAGTTCACACAGTAAAATCCAGTTGGAAAGTGGATTGAGAGTGAATTGAAAGTGGATTATTTAGTGTGTGCCACCCAGCCTCCCTGGCCCCCCCCCCCCCCCCCCCAAGGAGGTGATAGAAAGGCGGACGTTTCCCGGGTCTCTTGCTGGGGAGGCTGCCTCACCTGTCGGCGCTGAGGGCCGTGAGGGTGAAGACCGAGACGCCCACCGAGGTGAGCTGGATGGCCGGGAGGAGCTTGCAGCCCAGGGCGCCGAAGACCCAGTCCTCGAGGAAGAAGCGCGAGGCGTCCACGGGCACGCAGGTGAGCAGGAGGAGGAGGTCGCCGGCGGCCAGGCTGGAGATGAAGATGTGGGGCACGCTGCGCCGGGCGCCCTGGCCGGCGAAGATCCGCAGGAGGGTGACGTTGCCCAGCAAGCCCACCACCATGATCAACAGGTAGAGCAGAGGGATCACGCAGCGGACGACGAAGAGCGCCCGCGCCGGCGAGGAGGGCAGCCCCGCTTCGGACGGCTCCGGCGGCGCTCCGCTCCCGTTATCCCCCGTCAGGTTGCTCAGCTGCATGGCCCAGCCGCCGGCCTCGTCCGCGGACACAGCGGGACGCTCTGCTCGGGGGTGCCCGGAGGCGAAGCCGCCTCTTCTCCTCAAGGAGACCGCAACATCTGGCGGGGCCGAGCCTGGAGCAACTTTTGCCGCTCCCCCGAGTCCCTGTTGTCGCGGCGAGGAGTCCAGACCGCCGGGCCGGGGAGGGGCTGGAAGGAGGCGAGTCGCCGCCGGCCGTGCGGGACCAACGCGCCGTCCTCCCGCCAGGCTTCTAATCGACGAGACGGAGGACTGCCGGCATCGCGCCAGAGAAGAGGCGGGGCCCCCCTTGGCGAAGGCAACTCTGGCCCGGGCGCTTGGTGTGGAGGGGAGCTCGGATCGGCTTCCCCTCTTCCCCCAGATGTGCCTTTCCTTTATATCCGCCGTGGGGTCCGCCTCCGCAAGGAGGAGCTGCCAAGAGGCGAGAGACTTGGGCTCTTGGGGGCCGGGGGAGGAGGGGGTGGACAGCGGGGACGGTTTCCCTCCCTGCTGCGGGCTCCACGTCGGCGAAAAGACTTTTTGGGCAACAGTGATGATGGAAAGGACGAGATGGTCGACCCGGGGGGGCTAGGCAGGGAAGCCCCGGCGTCGAGCAGACACTACGAGCAATGCTCCCTCTAAGCCGTGGAGGCTTGTGAGCAAAAGTTCTACTTTGTGAGCTACTGGCATTAAAGTGGTGAGCGAGCGATTGGGCTGCAGTATAAATTAGTCTGCTCTGGAGCCAGCCTTCCTGAGCTGAGACAAAAAAGTGTGAGCCGGAGGCCAAAAAACTGTGCTCTAGCTCACACTAACTCAGCTTAGAGGGAACACTGACTACGAGCAGTGAGGGCAAGTGAGGCCATTCTCAAGGCGGCTGAGGTCCCAGCCTTGAGTGAGGGACAGAAGAGTGGGGGGTGGGGGGTGGCGAAGGGGAACTGTCCGTTCTTTAGTCCTGAAAGCGTTCACGAGCCATAGTCCGGACCAATGTTCCCTCTAAGCTGTGGAGTCTTGTAAGCAAAAATCCTACTTTGTGAGCTATGGGCATTAAAGTTGTGAGCGAGTCATTAGGTTGCTGCATAAATTAGTTTGCTTTGAGGCCATCCTTCCTGAGCGAAGGCAAAAATCTGTGAGCTGGAGGCTAAAAAACTGTGAGCTAGCTCACACCAACTCAGTTTAGAGGGAACACTGGTCCGGACTCTTTCAGCCACAAGACAAACGCTGCCACCCCAAACATTGTCAAGTGGCAGTCAATCCTTTAGACTGGGACTCACTCTAGAGTGGACGTGGCTACGGTCAGGCAAAGTGGCTCTTCAGCTCCCGGGAAGACCGTAATGTTTCTGTCAGATTGAAAATCGCAGGCTTTGCTGTTCGGGTTGTGTTTACCCGATGGTGAAGCAGATTACTATTCCCGTAGAAAAATAATAGAAACTGAGCTTATTCGCCCATGACCGCACTAAGGGTGCGATCCTAGGCACGCCAGGGAGTAAGTCCCATTGAACTCAGTGAGATTTCCTTGTGAGCCAAAAAAAATAAAAAACCAGCGGGTTCTAGATCGAATCAAGCCTGAATTATCCCTAGAAGCTAAAATGACCAAACTGAGGCCATGGTACTTTGGTCGCATTATGAGAAGACAAAGAGTCACGGTAAAAGAACGTTATGTTAGGAAAACCTGAAGACGGATTGACTCGATCAAGGAGGCCACGGCCCCGTTGGCAAGACCTGTGCAAGGCTGTTAAAGACAGGACGTGTTAGAGATCATTAATTCATAGGGTCGCCATAAGCTGGGGGTGACTTGACTGCACTCAGCGCACACACGCACACACACACACACACAACTGGGGGTGACTTGACTGCACTCAGCACACACGCACACACACACACAAAGGGACCGAACTACATCCCAGGGTTTGATTTCCAAAAGTACTTGAAGGGAATAAGCCGCCCACTTACAATCAACAAGGGATACGTCCAGTCCAGGTTGGTTGAAAACTGTCTAAGAACAGACTGCGGGCCGCGCACCGCCTTCCTCCAGCGTTCTGCCGGCTGAGCCCCACTGAATTCTGCGAACCCCTGCGCAAATTTCGGCGTGGGATCTCCGCTGCAAACCTCCCAGACTACAGGCCGGCTCCTAGAAAGCCCCGAACAAAGTAATGCTCACGAGCCACAACCGACTATAAAGCTGATAAGGGGGTGAGTCCTTGCTCCGCTGTGTTGTTGTGCACTACTGACTCCGTCTCTCTACAAACCAATGCTCCCTCTAAACTCTGGAGTCTTGTGAGCAAAAATTCTACTTTGTGAGCTACTGGCATTAAAGTTGTGAGCGAGTGATTTGGCTATTGCATAAATTAGTTTGCTCCAGAGCCGTCCTTCCTGAGCGAAGACAGAAATCTGTGAGCTGGAGGCTAAAAAACTGTGAGCTAGCTCACACTAACTCAGCTTAGAGGGGACACTGCTACAAACTAGCTGGCCTGGTGAAATTATCCTTTTCAGCAGCTACTTCGAGGCTCCTTTTTGTTTGCTTTGTCATCACCTGGGAGTGAATGGGGATTCGGGAAAGACTCGCGTGTGTGAGGGTACGGAGGTTTGGGTGTCAAACCTTCGGTCTCCTCCGTGCTGCTATGCCTTTCCCGGAAATATGTAGACTGCAAACACCAGACAGTGAGCAGTTACGTTTGTTATGAAGGCTTCCAGAGACATGGTCCATCGGCAGATCGTGTGTATGTGCGCGTATGTGATAAGTATGCCTATCATAAAATACACCTGCATCCATTATTAATCTGTCCGTCCGTCCCATCCGCTCATCACTCGGGAGAAACAGCGCAGGGCCAGCGCCTTGGCTTAGTAGCTCGCATCTCTGTCTACGCCGACTTAACTTAACCTTTCATCGTTTTACGATAGTAACTTCCGAGCGCTTTGGAAGAATTGCTGCCATCATGTTAGGACAAGGAAAGGGAAAGAACGATGATTGTCCCCGGGTTAGGGCTTCTTGCCCAGTGAGAACACAAACTTGAGGCCAGCACGCTGTTTGGGAAACAGGTTGTTGTTGTGTCATTGCAAAGACATTACCGCGACCAGCAATTAGTCAGGCGCTGTTTGATTTCGCTGTAACGGACTGCCAGGCTTTCCCCACAGGAGGCTGTTGGAAACCCTCCTTGCCTTTTCTCTTCCTTGAGCCCGAATCCGAGGTGGGACACAGAACTGACTCTCGGTGAGGTTAGATGTACAGCCAGCAGGGTAGCAACAGGCAGGATCTTCAGGAGCAAGACAACAAATGTTATCTTACATCCTATTTGTCATTGAAAAGCGCTTTGCCCTCCTTATCGGCGAACATCCACTTCAACAATACCCCCCTGAAATGGAGCTGTTATTAGCTGAAATGAAATGAAGTCTGCAGAGCAACGCTTTCCCTAGTCTTCCAGTGTCTGAACTGGGTCTTTAGTCCAGCCATTCCTATTCTGCCAGTTATTCTGATGAAGCTCCCAGTGTTACTTCTTTGTTAAGTTGTGAGGACCAAATATTTTCCTGCTGCTAAGGAGCTGGAAGTAGCATTTTCCTGTTTCATGCTTACAACAATCCTGTAGAGTAGGATTGGATGAGAAAGAAGGCCTGGCTAAAGAAAAGCCAGTGGGCTTAAGGGGTTTATATCGGGTCCAAGTTTAACACACTGCCCTTCTTACACCTAACTGGTTTAAAGATGGTGAGGCATGATTCAGACCCATCTTCTTTTACCTGGAAGCCAAGAAGTGCCTAGGTTATCTGTGGTTGTTCCCTGGGAAGGGAAAGGTACTCTGAGCGTGTTCCATGGCACTCTTTCTTTGTACTAAAGAGGTGTCCCAGGGATGGATACTGACACACAGTGACAGCGCCTGGTACTGAGTCTTGGATTCAAATGAAGCCTTGTTCAAAAGTTCCCCACTTCTTTGAATCCCACTGTGTTGCTGTTGGCCAAAACAGGCTCTCTTCTCACCAGAGTGCAGAATTTATTTCCCCTTGGCATTTCCTGAAATACTTTGGAAATGGAAAATTCTTCTGAAAGAAGCCAAATCTAAAACAAGCAGATCACAACCAGGCCGCTAGGTGGTACATTCAAAGCTTTCCCCCCTTCCCTTGCTTGGAGGTACACAGATTGCCTGTACAGGATCACCCATGTCACAAGGTTGTTGTGAAGATAAAAATGAAGGAGAATTAAAAAAAAAACCCTGCTTTGAATCCCCATTGTGGAGAAAGGTGGGGTATAAATGAAATAAAGAAATATAGCTAAAGATGGGAAGCAGGTAAATACAGGATGGGAAGAAGAGAAGGAAACAGGGAAAGGTGAGGATATCAGGGCTACCAGGAGGAGGGAAAAGGAAATAGTCTTGGAAATCGGATAGAGGGAAAAGTGAGGTGCAGCCTCATAAGTCCTTGCCAGTTCCCCACTGCACAACTGGGCCAGAGTTTTCTAAAGAAGAGGCTGCTAGGGAGATGGAGGAGAGAAGAGAAAGGCAGATAAAGATAATTTAGCTGGTGGGTAGCATCATAAAAAGTAGAGACATCACCCTGCCAACAAAAGTCCGCATGGTCAAAGCAATGGTATTCCCAGTAGTCATGTATGGCTGCAAGAGTTGGACTATAAGGAAGGCCGAGCGCCGTAGAATAGATTCTTTTGAACTATGGTGTTGGAGAAGGCTCTTGAGAGTCCCTTGGACTGCAAGAAGATCAAATCAGTCAGTCCTAAAAGAAATCACCCCTGACTGTTCCCTGGAAGGCCAGATAATGAAACTGACGCTCAAATACTTTGGCCACCAAATGAGAAGGGAGCACTCACTGGAGAAGACCCTGATGCTGGGAAAGATTGAAGGTCAAAGAAGACGGGGACGGCAAAGGATGAGATGGTTAGACAGTGTCATCGATGCAACGAACATGAAATTGAGCCAACTTCAGAGGATGGCGGAAGACAGGAGGGCCTGGCGGGATCTGGTCCATGGGGTTGCGAAGAGTCGGACTCGACTGTGCGACTGAACAACAAAAAAAAGGAAGGCAGGTAGGACAAAGGAAAAAAGGAGAGGCTATGGGGGCTTTCAGGAAAATGAGACACACACCCCCTCACAAGTCCTTGCTGGTCTCCTGCTTGTACATTATAAAATCAATTATCTGAGGCATACTATGCAACTATATGTTCAAGGGCGATGGAGGATGGTATCCCAACTGTGGAACTTCCTATCCAGGGACATTTGCCTGTCTGCCTCCTCACTCTGTCCTTAGAAGGTAGGCAAAGAAGTTCTTTGCCATGCCGCAAATCAGTTTCTCCTTGCAGAAGTGCAGTTTTAATTCTTGCTTTGTTTTATTGTCATGTTATGGCTGCTGTGATATTGTTGCATTACCATTTTATTATTGTCATTAGATGTGTGACTCTGAAAGCGGAACTACATTTGGGACATGATCAAAGTATACAGAGGCATCTAATGTTTTCATTTTTGCAGCGCGCTTGGCAATCTCCTAAGAATGGCGCTGCTCGGAGGCATGCCGCTGAATTGATGTATACTTTGCTGATTTATTTTCATTTCATTGGCCACATTTTATACCCTGCTTTTTCTCCCAATGGGGACCCAAAAGGGTGCTCGTTTCCCAGGTCAGAGATGTGAACCCAGGCAAGGTTTGATTCCCAGCAGCTCATCTGGTCTAGGAAGGGAAGAGTGAGCCTGCGTTGGGGCTGAGGGCAGGGGAGGCGTACAAAGACGGATGGGACGGCAAAAGCCACGTGTTGGGCTGTGGGGCCCGGAGTTTTGCTGCCAGGGCCGCCTGCCTCTCCCTCCCCTCCCCGCCCGTGTGTGAGAAAGGGAGACAGCGAGAGCGTTTTCTGGGCGGGGGATAGCAGCGAGTGATGCTCTCCAGCCCGGCCGGAGAGCGCAGTCCCCTTCCAGGATGGTTGCAACTCCCCTCCCTAGATGGTGCCAGTGGAGCGACAGGCAGACGGCTGAATGGGGCGCCCCAACAACGCTACGCCGGGGCTGCGGCTGGTGCGTATCTCTCCTCTTCCCGGGGGGGCTTCCTCCACTCTTTGCAGCGGAGGTAGCAGCGGAGGCTTCCTGAAAGAAAGGCAGGCCCGGATTGCCCGCTCTCCATTGACGGAGTGGCTGTCTTGCAAGGCGTGAGTGGGCCGGGTTAGAAGGAGGGAAGGAGAAGAACCGGATCAGTGGGGGGTGGGGGGAGAAGGGCTGTTGCGAACGAAGTGGATGAGACCGCTTGAGAAAGGGCAGCTGTCGACGGCGCGCAAGAGGTCTCTCGGATCACAGGCAGTGTTCCCTCTAAGCTGAGTTCGCGTGCGCTAGCTCACGGTTTTTTAGCCTCCGGCTCACGCGTTTTTTTGTCGTAGCTCGGGAAGGAGGGCTCCAGAGCAAACTACTTTATGCAGTAGCCAAATCGCTGGCTTACAACTTTCATGCCAGGAGCTCACAAAAGTAGAATTTTTGCTCACAGGACTCCACAGCTTAGAGGGAGCATTGATCACAAGGGACCCGTGAGGAGGAGGAACTGCTGAAAACGAATACCGATTCGTTGATTTTTGAGCCCTCAAAGGCTAGTTTGGCACTGACTTTGTCACAGGGCCCACAGCTAGTCCTTAAGATTTCCACGGGGACCAGCAGAAGTCTGCACAACCCCGTGTGGTTTGCAGGTATTGGATGGGGTGAGACAGAATCCCGGGGAACCTCCTCCCACTATCACTATCCTGGCCATAAAAGTATATTTTGTTAGCCTCTAACATGCTGTTAAGATTCTGGGTTCCTGTTATTCTGAGGGATAGTTTCTTAGAGGAGGGGGGGGGTCTCCCAGGTGATGCAGGACAAAAGAATTCCTTCTTACCCTGCCAGTGGGTGCTTACTGCTCACACTACTGCCCCCCACCCCTCTATTGCCAGCCATCTAGTCCATCCCCAGGAGTGCAGCCAGAAGCATCATGTGGTTGTAGCTGCTGAAGCACAACAAGGATATGGTGACTCCGTTGGCAGTTGTACATTCGCCCTCCTATTGTGTTGCTGGCTGCTAGATGATAGGGTTGGGTTTTTCTGCTGACGATGTCCATTGGGGATTATTAGGCAGGCCACATGCACACAGCTTTTGTTTGGGCCTTTCTTTCCCCCTCACCTCCCTGAGAGTGTAAGGTTAATTGGGGCCCCAGAGATAAAAAAAGCAAAATTGTGCAGTGACAAGAGTTTTCCCTAGCAAAGGTCAGGAGAGAGAGAAATCGCATCGGAATGAGCCTGATGACAGCAAATTGGCAATGAGGGCAAGGAATTATTCCACGATTGCATTAGGAGAACATCTTACAAGACATGTCTTTAAATTACATCAAGAACTTCTATGAAGGTTGTGTAAGTATGAACTGCAGGAGAAATGCTGGAAGAAGAAGTACGCTCTACTTAGTGGGAGAGATTGGCAGGGCTAAGGATGGTAATCCCAGCAGCATGAACTCTTTCCATTTCTATGTGTGTTTGCATTTACAGTGCAATCCTTAAAAAAACTTACACCCTACAAAGCAGTTTTGACCTAGGGTTGCACTGCAGATTTTTAGGGGTGAGAGTTAACTGTTATATTGCCATTGTATTGGTTGCATCATCAGTAGTCTGAAGATTTATTTGAATCACTGGAGCTGCGATCACACACACTAAATAATTCACTTTCAATGCACTTTCCAACTGGATTTTGCCAGTTCACACAGTAAAATCCATTTGGAAAGTGCACTGAAAGTGGATTGAAAGTGGATTATTTTGTGTGTGTGATCACAGCCTATGTATATATTTGATTGGAATAATGGAACACAAATTATTGGGAAAAATAAATGTATTTATTTTTCAGTAGCTCCTGAATCCTATTTTATAGCCTTGTCCTAAAGACAAGGCTTGAACCCAGAAGGCCTTTCAGGGTAATCTCCAATCGAGTGCAAGCAGCTGCAATCAGGACAGAAAATCAACAGGAACCCCTAAGTATGCATAGAAGTGCCTTGTGCATACGCATGGGACATTTAAATCTTGACCACTGCTTGGAAATTTCTCTCTGAAATCAGAATTTGGTCTCAGGCAACTCACCTGAGACAAGATATCATTACAACAAGTGGTCTTGAAAGATTGTCTCCATTGTCCACTGCACAACAAGCTTCCATATAATGGACCTGGGAGAAAGAGTACCAAAAGTGTATAGTCTATTTTATAGAATTAAGAAATATACATAGTGAAGACTTTTTCATGTTTTAGTTCTTTCCAATTGAATCTTCCCATGATTCTTACAGCTTAGGCCTCCAACTGTGATTGGTCAATTCCACACTCTCTTCTTTGGCTCTGTACGGATGTTCTTCCTTGGTGTTTTGGGCTTTGCAGTTTATGGGAACGAAGCCTTACACTTCAGCTGTGAACCCGACAAGAGGGAAGTGAATCTATTCTGTTACAATCAATTCAGACCCATAACCCCACAGGTAAATTTTTCATTTTGTTTGAAGGAATTCATCAACCTATTTCAGTTATCAAAATGTTCTTAAAGATTTAGAGCGGATCTTTATACTACATAGAATGGCGTAATAATGGTGGTAGAATTTTGGCCTAAACCGCTTCAGAATTCAGATGGGGGTTTCACTTTTGAAAGCTTCCCATCCAAAGACCCCCTCCCTCCAATGCCCTGCATGGAGACTCAATATATCCTTATAGCCAATGTTCAACTTGACTATATAAAAAAAGTTGTTTATATATATAAACAGCCCAGTCAAAAGTGGTACTGTCCAGAATGTTATCTCAGTATACCCCCTCATCCTGTATAACAAGTTTTTCAACATCATCTAAAGAGCAGCCAGGAAACAGGCTGCAGGGTTACTTCTTATTATGTTGATGTGAAAGTCTTTGTTATATTTTATTAGATTAAAAAACAAACTAAGGAACCACAAACTAAACAAAATTAAACTGAAATGGCCCTTGAAGAATAATTAAATATTGCTCAGAAAATTCCAATATATTATTATCTTTTGCAATAAATCCCCATCTACATCTGATGGCTAATTACATTTTCTCAGTTGATGAGGTGCAATTCTATTGTTGGACTTGATCTTTAAACTATATATGTAAAAAAAATCTTATTTTATGAAGCCAGTGCTTCCTTTCCCCTGCAGATTAAACACATTGAAGCCAGGTCCTCTACAAATGCCTTTCTGTCAACCATCTCCTCTGCAAGGGGTCCACTTTTTTTCTTCTAATATGTGAGCCACTGCATTTCATTTTAAGGATATGTACACCTCTTAAAGGAATACCACTATTAATTCATATCAGGTCAGATTTCTGTGAACAATCTTTCCAGCATATCAACATTCTGGCAGTTCCTCTTTCTGCAACTATGCTCCTAATAATTAGCATAAATTTTCCCCAGCTTTATTTGTATTTCACTGAATCATGAGATTTATGGTCCACATATGCTGTATACACAGTTACTAGCTTTCTGCATATAAGTATGATACTCTAGACTATAAGCTAGAACAAATGTCACCCTTTGATTCTTCTAAATCTACAATCCAAGGACAAGGTCTTGAAAGCTGGTGGCTCCTGTAGAAGGGTGTGAGTATAGGACACTATCTCCCTCTATTCCTGAATGTAGCTTGTTAAGGCAATTGCTTCAAAGATATTTTGAGCACAGAAACTGAGTTCCCACCCTTTGAGAATCTAAGTTAGAAATGTATGTGGTTGGATGTGTGAAAGTTATACAACTATACTTCTCCAGGATGTAAATGTGAAAAAGTACAAAGGAGCACACCTATGCTACATCTGGAAGGGTATATTTAGCCCAGAATATGGTTTTAATCATGCTTCTTTATGTATTTATTTCATTTATGCCCTGCCTTTTTCTCCAATGGGCCCCAAAGCTGCTTCCATCATTCTTCCCTCCTCCTGTTTATCCTCACAACAACCCTGTGAGGTAGGCTAGCCCGAGAGTATGTGACTGTCCCAAGGTCACCCAGCAAGCCTCCATGGCAGAGGAGGAACCTGAACCTGGGCTTCCCATATCCTGGGCTAACACTCTAGCCACTACACCACACTGGCTCCTTTATATAGTTTTTATCAGTTGCTTAAATATACGGTGTGTCCTGGAGCTATTTAGTCCTGCACAGGCATCCACTGTGAAGTAAAGACACATATTATAGGTTAGTGTCCATAAGATATATACAGGTCAAGGGATTCAATACCCTCTGTAAATAGGTCCAAAATGGATTTTTCAGTTAAAGCTATTGTTATGCCAATAAAGGTTATTGGAACTGGAATTGGATTTTTCAGTTTGTTCCCTTCATGAGTGGGCTTTGTATACACTTCAATATTATTGTCATAGTGCAATTCTGAATTCTGAAGATATTATGATCCATATTTCTGTTAACCAAGGGTGACTAGTTGTAGTCCTAAAAAAGAAAAATAATACTGTAGAATGAATCCACTTGATTTTTCAGATAAAGGCTATTTTCATATGATCTATGATAAATAAACAGAAACAAGTATCACAAGATGCTCAGATGGTTGTCTGTTATCAGGAAGTGCAGTACCATCGTTAATGATCTGACAGCCAAGTTTCTGCTATACTTTAGGTATTCTGGGCTCTACAGCTAGTGACCGTACTGGTACCTGGAGCCATTTTCCATCTTTATGCTGCATGTAAAAACATCGCTCAGGAAGATATCCTCCAAAGGCCTGCCTACACCGTTTTTTATATTCTCTCTGTTCTGTTAAGGATCATCCTTGAAGTTGTGGCTTTTTGGCTTCAGAGTCAACTCTTTGGTTTCCAAGTGAACCCACTCTACAGATGTGATGCAGGACCCCTTGATAAAAAGTTTAATATTACCAGATGCATGGTACCAGAACACTTTGAAAAGACTATCTTCCTTATTGCAATGTACACATTTACGGTGATTACCATTATGTTGTGTATTGCGGAGATTTTTGAGATCTTATGTAGAAGGTTGGGTTTCTTGAAGAGTCCGTAACTTTATTGTTATAATGAATTGCTCTTATTCAGCCAATCACCATTCTGCATTTTATACAATGAATTTCTCAGTTCAGAACGGAGAAAACTTCCTTAAATATCTGCAGATTTCTACAGGCAGTTCTATCTTCTTTTTTTAGCTACTACTAATGAAAATATATATCGGACATCCAGATCAGAAGCATGTTTACCCCAAAGCCCCATGAATTCAATGGGGCTTACCATCTACTAAGTGAATGTAGGTTTTCATCATAAGAATACTTACTTGGGATCACGACCCAATGAACTCACTGGGATTTCCAAGTAAATGTGCATGGGATAAGCTATTGGATTGGTCTAATTGAACTTGGTGGAGCATACTTCTGAATAGAATGTTTAGCATCATACCATAAGAATACAAACTAAAAGGCCTTAACTTGGATAGCCCAGGCACATCCAATCTCATCAGATCTCAGAAGCTAAGCAGGGCCAACCCTGGCAAACATTTGGATGGGAGACCTACAAAGAATACCAAGGCCAGAAGTCAAAGCCACTTCTCTGAACTTTATCCATGCCCCAATAGGAGTCACCAGAGGTTGCCATGACTTCTAGGCACAGGCACGCACACACACACACGCACACGCACACACACAAATGCAAAGAGTACAAAATAAAAGGACTATATTACTGGATGGAATGTACTAGGGCAAACAACAATCCAATTTCTTAAATAATTTGAGGCAAATTAGTTAGGAAAATCAATCAGACATGTATGTCTTAAAAGTCTGTGGATACTGCTATCAAGGGGAAAGCCAATGTTTTCTCAGAATTAGTTAAATTACCGTATTTTCCGGCGTATAAGATGACTGGGCGTATAAGACGACCCCCAACTTTTCCAGTTCTCTGTCCGCCCAACTTGTTTTGTTTTTCGGTTGTTTGCTATGCTCAAAGCGCAGCATGTACTACTGAAAGCGATAGAAAGACCAGAGTACCATATTTACCGGCGTATAAGACGACCCCCCATTTCTGAGAAGATTTCCCTGGGTTAAAAAGTAGTCTTATACACCAGAAAATACAGTACTTCTAATACTAACTTGTATAACCTAAAATATTTCCCCATGAAATAGTCAGTCTAACAATCAGTGCTGACACTCTCCATTAAAATATAGCTTTTAAAAATGCAAAGAAGCAAAGGTTTAGAGACAAGCCTTTGTTCCACCATGTGTAAAATCTCTCTAAAACAAAGGTGTCGAGACAGAAAAGTATTCAATTTGCCCTTGTCATCCTGTTTATTTTTAATAAGAAAATTATAAATGATATTCTCTCACTGTTTTATATTTTTATCTGTACAGTAATTTGCCAGGGATATTTAATATGCATTATCTGTAGTAGGAAGAAAGAGACCCTGTAAAGTATTTCAATAGTTTTTAGCAAGCTAATAATCTATTTCCAGTTTGATAGTAACAAGGAATAATCTGCAGCATATGTAGTCTTGTAATAATCGTGTCACTTCAAAAAAAAGTCTATCATAAATAAGGGGAATAGTCAGGTCAGTTTTCTGATATTTGACCTGGGACAAACCACTGCACATCATTCCTTTGTTGAATTATTAGACTGTAATGTCCTTAAATCAGAGCCTGCCCTTCACAATAGTGAAGGTGTCCTGGCCATTGTGCAGAATTCAGGCCTTACTTGAATACAAAGCAGCAATAATTAAGTACAGTTTTGAATAACCTGCATAACATGTTCTCTCTTGAACTTATTCCTTTATGGGCTACAGTGGCCCTTTACACTTAAAGAATTTAAAGCAGAATTCTCAGGCCTGTCACTCATTACTAATAACATATAGTCTCACTGATGTTCTCACAACCATACCACCACAGACAAGTACAATAGCAATGGATACAGTACTTAGGGACTAGTATCATGTTTGAGTATGCTAAACACGTTGCCCTTTGAGTGCTAAGCAAATGCTAAATATCTGCAAAAAGAAGCACAATTTAAAGAGCATATGAGTACTGTGTACAACAAATGAATAGCATATCTACACTTACTGCACAAAAAATGTTTGTGCAGAACTGCCCTCAATGAATACAGAATATATTGTAGAATATATATTGTAATATATCTTGTAATCTTATTTTCTATCTTGTCTTGTCAATGAAAATAGTATTTTCATTTGTTAATTGTTCGGATGCAGTCCTAAAATACTGGAGCTGTCACTAAATGTGAGATCCCAGGCACATCTACCTGAGAGTAAGCTCCATTGAATTCAGTGGGGCTTACTTCCCTCTCCAAACATGCTCAACTCCAATCCTGAGCTCACTCAGAACGCCATCCTAAACAGAATTACAGCCTTCTGAGTCCATTGAAACTGGAGGGTTTAGGATGGCATTGTCACTTTGGAGGAAGTTTCAGTGGGGCTTGTTTTTGAGTAGTACACAGTAAATGGGCTTAGTGCCTGCAATTCAATGTGCCCTTACAATGGAGCTTGCTCTCAAGAACACAGTGGAACTTACTGCTAAGGCCACAGAAATAAAATAAAATAAATAAATTAAAAGGGGCTTTACTACCTCAGTCCTATGTAGATTTATATGAATGTAAGTCTACTGAGGAGCTGCGGTGGCTCAAGTGGTTAAGACGCTGAACTGCAGGCTGTGGAAGGTCAGTAGTTCAGCAGTTCGAGACCCGGGTGCTGCATGACGGAGTGAGCTCCCGTCTCTAGTTCCAGCTCCTGCCAACCTAGCAATTCGAAAGCAAGAAATTGCAAGTAGATAAATAGGGACCACTTCGGTGGGAAGGTAACAGCGTTCCGTGCGCCTTGGTGTTTAGTCATGCCGGCCACATGACCACGGAAACGTCTTCGGACAGCGCTGGCTCTTCAGCTTTTGAAACGGTGATGAGCACCGCAACCCTAGAGTCGGATTCGACTGGCTTTCGAACACGGGAACCTTTACCTTTACCTAAGTCTACTGAACAAAGTAGGACTTCTCAATAAACAGGCACACGATTGAGGTGTATATCAAAGAAGAAATATTTACTCAGTAGCTGTAAGATTTTGCTATCATATCCTGAATTTACAAAAATTGGATGTTATTCCATCATAATGATGAATGAGGGTTGCCAGTCTCCAGGTGAGGCCTAGTGATCTCTCAAAATTAGAACTGACCTCCAGCCTACAGAGATCAGCTCCCCTGCAGAAAATGGCTGCTTTGGAGGATAAACTCTATGGCATTAAAACCTGCTAAGGTTCTCCCCCTCCCCAAGCCCCATCTCCCCCACACTCCATCTCCAAATCCCCAGGAATTGAATAACCCAGAGCTTGTTACCCTATGATGAATACAGGTTTGACTTCACTATATTGCTGCTTATGGTGGGAAAGCAGAGCAAGGCAATGGCTAGGTTGGCAGGAGCTGGAACCAGAGACGGGAGCTCACTCCGTCATGTGGCACTCAGGTCCCGAACTGCTGAACTACTGACCTTCCAGCTCGCAGTTCAGCGTCTTAACCACTTGAGCCACCACAGCTCCATAGTCTTCAATTACCACTCATTTAATTACCAGTAAATCATCACACTATACAATATAACAATTACTTTTCTTAACAACAAATAATAGTCGAGCATGGGAGAAGTCTTAAGTTACAATACAATCACTCCGCTGAAAATACATTTGTCTGCAACCTAGATACAAACAACTGACCAATCAACACACACCAGAACATAGATTTCACCAATCTGATGTGAAATTAATGTGTAACTCTCCTTAGGATTTTTGCATCCATGCTATAAATGTATATCCCAATTATACAATCCTTGTCTTTCAGGCTTTGCTGCCCTTCCTCTTATACTGTTGATTCTTATTTCTCCAATGTACAGATCTGTCTTTAACTGTAGTCCTTTACATGACCCTGTACACACAGCAGACACAAACATATGCTCAGAGGTTTATCCACAGTCTTCCTGTCAACATCTTCTACCCTGTTGTCTTTGCACAAACCAACAGATATGCTATTGTAACACACATCCATGGAGCAAAAAGAGGTTATTGATTTGTGTAAGCAAACCACATGGACAACTGTTGCCAAGGAAGACAATGAAGTAAGATGCACTTGGCAGCATAGCCAACTCCTTTGTACATCAATCATGGAGTGGACCCTGCTGCTACTTTATAATGCTATACGCATAATTTATTTTACAGAAAGAGATTCATCCATAAAATAGATGCCTGAATGCTAGTATATTTTTTGAAACCTTTGGAGATATTCCTGCCCATTTATAATATGTAGTTGGAATTATATTATTTAACATATTTTTAATGCATGGTACATCCAAAGGACTATGAGTGGCACTTTATCTTGCCAATAATGTTATGGTTAGATTAAGAAAAAAATGATTTGCCCAAAGCCATCCACTGAGTTTTACGGATGATTAGGAACTTGAACTGCACCACATTGTCTTCTGCTTGACACGTGGATAAACCAATACTGGATAGTTTCTGTATCAATTATTAACAAAAGCAGCTCCACTGTGTTTAGTGGGTGTATAAACAGTACAGGATCCACAAATATCAGTGTTTCCCATATCAGTTCAAGAAACTCATTCATGAGCCTAAGTTCTAAAAGTTTATTCTAGACTTGAACATTTTATATTTCCACATGGGCATGCATCACGTTTTATGAGAGCCTGTCTAGTACCACATGTGTACACACACACACACACACACACACCCCTGCTCTACACTAGGCTTGCCATTGTATTTTTAGCAGCTTTCCTTTTGTGCTCTTTGCAGCAGGGTGATCCATGGTTTTTAGCAAGGGAAAATGCTTATGTCTTACAGATCAAACTGTTGTTATAGAGACAACAGCTCCCCAGTCTATTCCCCCCCCCCCGGACAGTTGGCAACCCTGGTCTAGACAGTTTGATGTCTTTTGTTCTGTTGATAAATGTGTATGTTTTATCAAATATCCATCCATGTTTCTACTTATATCAGGAGCTGTTTATTTTTAATTTCATGTATGATCT